ATTTTTCTGTTTCCTCTCTCATTTGTTTTATATATCTTGTTTTATATTACACTCTTTTATTCACGGATTCTGTCAAAGACTTTCTTGTTTAGTCTCCCTTGGTCCATTCTTATCATGTGCCCTGATTCTTATTTCGGTTTCTGGGTATTTTATTTTAATGTAGATTTTCTGGTTGGGTCTTAACCTTTATCTTCTTGGACCCTTAGATTCTCCTTAGAATCCTTATTACCAGTAATATTTCTTGCCTAGAGAGACATGTATATTATTATTTATTTATTTATATTTTCTGTAAATATGGAGTGAATGTGCTCTCTTATTTCTATTAGGAATGTCCTTAATTGAGAGAGAATCTAATATTTCTCAATAAACAAATTTTAAAAAATTTGAATATATTAAAATATTATTTTCAACCCTGGCGCGAAGGATACACTAGTAGCAATACATTAATGTTTTGCCAGTATAGTATATACCGAGCGCCGGGCATTGTCTAGGAGATTTTAAAGAAATCTTGAAATATTTTGAAAATTATTTGTCTTTTCAGTAATAAGCAATCTTTTTACTTAATGTTTCAGCTTAAATTTATAAATTAGGCATAAAATAAGGTTAACGCGTTATTTAACCACAGTTATTTTTATTATCCACAGTTTATTTTGTATTTCTAAAATATCGATTAATGATCTTCAAGAGGATGAGCCCTTTGGATAAAAATATTTTGACTCTGATTATATAAATTATGCTGCCTCAATAAGATGAAACATGGGCCGAAAGATCAGCCAAAAAATTCTGTCGAAAAAGAGATTTATGAGGCCTTCTCTCTACCGCAATTTCACCTGGAGATTATCCATCATCGCCTCTGTAGTACCCAATATATAGTTAACCCAATGGATAATTATTTTATTTTTTATGTATTTCTACAATGTTTATATTTTTACATAACAACTTCATATTGTTACAAAATCATAAAAATCTTTGGAAAACAGAAATATGGACTATATTCAAATAAAAAAAAATTGAAAAACAGAAAAAATTTAGTGATAGTAATCATACTGCGAAATAGTGATTATTGTCATACTTTTTTTAATACTTCATTTCTCCAGACCTGTCAGAAATATTGATAAACCAGCCAGTATGCTGTGAGGAAGTATTACAGCAGCAAGGCATTGTAATGAATCGCTAACGAATATTAATTATCTTAATATAAACAATGAATAATTAATTGTGTCCTGAGAGGAAGACGCTACAAATTGATTCGGTACTGATGTATTTTAGTCGTGAAGTACTCGAAGTTAGATACTGGAAGTATGGTGGATGCTTGTTTTGCAGCTATATCAGCCAGTCCATTACTTGGTATTCCTGCATGACTGGAGACCCACAGAAATTTTATTGTTTTGTCGATTAGATGAATAATTTATGTGATATTGAATAGTATGGCGTTGTGCAAATATTTTATTAGCTTGAGGACTGAAGAAGAATCACTGAGAACTAAAATATGGTTGCTGGTAATGTCATTTATAATTATTCCTAAGGCTAAATAGATGGCGAATAGCTCGGAGGACAAGACTGAGCAAGTGGAAAGTAGAGATTAGCGGATAGCATAAGTCATATTTATCTATATTACTGTTAAATTATCATTTTTCTTATAAACTATTAAGTATGTTTTTGTTTTAAAAGAATATATTTATACAGTAAATAAATAAAGTTTTTTTTTCAGTTTACCTGTTTTGTGATTTAATTTGTTTATCATTTTTGAGTAATTCACGCCAATTTTCGGACAATATTTATATTTTATTTCTTTTAAATTATTTGCAAAGAATTAAAAAAAAAAAATCAAACCTTCCAATCAAAAATATTACATCTCATAACAAAAGCACCTTGGTGCATGTTATGAAAACACTGTTTATTACGTTCACCTACCAATAATTGAACAACAAATAGGGACTGTTTACCAACTATTTCAGTCTGATTTACACGTTTATATTACTACTACTACCAATAATAAGATAAATATATAAATTTAAATACTAATAAGATATATGATTACAATTGACAATCTCATGAAACAGAGAATGGATTAAAATACTCTGGATGATAAACCTCTTCCATAAAAAAAATGAGTATAACTGAATCAAACCAGGGTAGAACCATGCCACTCGTTATGAAATGGCTATTATATTTCTCGATTTCCAACAATGCCATTAGTTCCTAATTTTATTATTATTATTATTATTATTGCTTGAAACCTTTTTTTGCATCCCGTCGTTCTCTTCATGGTCACGTAACAGTAATGTCAAAATTTGACGTTCATTACAGAAAACAATTCGAGTAAATGATAAACAGTCTTTTAAAAAGTCCTCAGAAGCTTGAAAACTGAAAAAAATAGAAATGAAAAGTGAAAGTTAATGCTCCACACATAGACATAAATGACAGCATGGCCGGACGTTGGGAAAAATGAGGATTTCAATTGAAAAATAATAAAATAATAATGCACTAGATATATTCTAAATAGTTGTAGATGGCAAATAATAATGTTAATAGATTATTAGATGCCTTTCTGTCCGCTATTATTGTATGAATCTATTTATTGATGATCTATTATTATTATTTATATATTAATTTCCTCCACCTCATTTATATAGCTGCTTATTGTGGCATTGTCTACACAATATCTATTACTTTAAGTAATAACTAAAAATAATTTTTAATAGTTAAAATTATTAAACGTTATTAACGAATTCTGTACTCTGAGTTTGTTTATACTAAACAATTTGAGTTTCTAATTATAAAATATAAAAGGGAGAAAAGTTCAATTCGGACAAATTAATGGGGTATTACTGAACATAAAAACTCGAAAAGGGTAGAAATAAAGGATAGGTTAATTTTTCTCCATTACTTTTCGGTTTTAATAAATTTAAATAACCAGTTTTTCATAATTTAAAGGGTTTCATTATTTATTCGAACCTTTAAAATTTCTATTTATATTTGGTTTTAACTATTTAGTGATAAGTAATTTTCGTAAGTATCTGGATTTGGGCAAAAAATTAGAAAGATTTGTCCTTTTGTTGGTTTCTCTCAGGGAGTACTAGATTTTTGTTTCGCTACTGTCTCCAGATTATCATTGCATTTAAATAAAAACAGATATAAAATAATAATAATAACAGTATACCCTTACACCAAAACCCGGATATAAAATGACGAATAAAGATGTCATCTATATGCAACATATAATCTGGGGCGTGCCCGGGATTTAGAGAGCACAACAGCGCCTCACATTTTGATGTTTTTACTGCTGTATATATCCTCGTAGCAATATTTTTTCATGCTTGAAATTTATAAAAGAGTAATATTTTTGTTATTTTTTAATTTAAAATATAATAACAAATACGCCTATGCAAATAATAAAAATAAAAAAAAAAGCCTATTTACTACATGTTTCAGTTCAGTTTTATAAAAATAGAAAAAAAATATATCAACCAGTTTAATTGACGTCAATATAAGAGATATTAATCTAGGCCTTAGTAGTTTTAAATGGTCAATAGATTAAAGAAAATCTCTATTTACTCAGTAATGTTGACCATGTAACACGTTGGATACTGGGGTCAAATTTTTGGGTCATGGCAATTGGAAGGTAGAATACGAGAGAACCTTTACTTTTATAGTTCGCTTCGCTAACTCAGATAAAAATTAAGATAATAATTAAATATTCGATTCTTATATGTAGTTAGATTTTTTAAATAATTTACCTTTCTTGTGGTTTAAAGTAACTAAAAACGGACAAATACTACATAAACTACAACATAACTTTGTGATGAACTAAGGAGAAAAAAAGATAAATATTTTCCTTCTGGAAAAGAAAATCCATATTAGGAGAAATAGATGTATAGTATTGGAAAATCAGAAGTTTTACAAATATTCAAATTTACAATATACAGACCGTAAAGCCAATGTAGAATATTGCAAAGACACATATTTTACATATTAGAATGATGGATAAAATAATATTTTTATTTAACTCTAAATAAACCGGTACTAACATACAGTGTGGAGACCTAGACATCAACTGTTGCGGCATCAACCTTAAAATATTTGTACGCGAGATTTCAAGGATAGTGAAACCATGTATAATATTAGATGGCGGAAGTTGAGAACTCGTAAAAATAAACATTAAAAGGTCACATAAAAAGGATGTAGAATATTAGCATGCTCGGGAAATCAAAATATACAGATACATTTATAAGAAGAGTGTGGCACGCACGAGGTGGCTGTGGACGCTAGGCATGATGAGCTGGAAAAAAAATACAAGCAACAGGGACACATGGAGTGACATTATTAGGCAAACTAAGACCCATTACCCATTACCATGGCTTTAGAGTTAGGCAAGTAAGCAATGTTATACTTTGTTTGCACGTAGTGCGGGCGGGGTGGCCGAACGGACTGACGTGTGTGCACAGCACCGCCGTTTCCCGGCAACCTGATCTATGAACAATGGATTTAAAATAGTCACGAGTTCTCGTCCCGGTACCGGGGGAGTCTCCCAGGAAGGGGAGGGCCCAAAAAAAATAAAAATAACTTTGTTTACACCAATGAAACAATATTTGAAAGGTTTTTAATGATTTAAAAAAAAAAAAAAAACCTTTACCACTAAAACCCATGAAGGGGGTTCACTAGTTTGTTGGGAAGTACCGTTTTAATGGTTGCGGAAGATGATCAGGCCAGGATAAAGCTCAACTGCTAGGTTCTCCCCATTAATTAATTATTTTATTAAAGTGTACTTACTTTGTAGAGGCTGGGCACATCCCAGAGATCCTATTTAGGCATACCGCTGGAGGGTCTTTCGACCCACGGCGTATAAAAAATGCCATCAGCTGAATTCAAACCTGGGACCCAGAGCTCAACGGCCCAGTTTCTAACTCGCAGGGATACTCCATTCCCAATGATTTTCAAGAGCTAGATGAAGATGATATTCTGGAATAGTAGTACTACTTGCTTGAAAGAGCTCTTACCTTCCAATAGACGCATGGCCTCCTCCAAGGGGCGCCTGTAAACGACGAAGACGAGAGTTGCCAGGTAGCACTGGACCCCCGAGAAGAACTCGTTGAGGTTGATGAGCATGCCAATGAGGTCGCCGGAGAGGAAGGTCCTCTGGGAGCTGAAGAGCTCGGCCCCGAAGAGGCAGAGGGTCCAGAAGAGGATGGTGTAGGAGGCGGTGCGCTGCAGCCCACCCTTCAGCCCCTTGTCAGTCGGCCAGTGCCCGAACCAGTTCAGCTTGGACAGCTGTCGAGATTAAGCTTCACTTTTAATTTATCTTCAAGTTACCAGGTAAAATAACTTGCTTCACTCAAGAATGTAGGTAATATTTATCTACACTCGACTATAACTTTATTTATTTATTAAATATTTTAATTAAATTCAGGCAAGAACTTTCAAAACCTCAACTGAAACTACCTGGTAATTTGTATAAAAAAATCCTCAAACACCAACAGTTAAGAAACACATCCGGGCAAACAAAAAAAATCACACACTAATTTACTTTAGCATAATAACACCCATACATGGTAGGGCCATAATTAAGCTGACCAATATATCCCGTTTGAGGCTCAAAAGTAGCTGGTTGATGGATCAGCCGCTTAGCTATAAATACTGTAAAATGATAACTTTTGACCTATCCATGGCAGGCAATGAAATTCTTATTTTATTTTACTAAACTTTACAATGGAAAATAACAGTTTAATAATTATCCATAATCATTTATAGGTTGAATATTCAGATGTACTTTCAAATATCTCTAGACATATATGAGCCTTTCGGTTGACAGAATGACTAACTCCAATTTAAACATTATTTATTATTCATTTTAGTGATGTTCCTAGTGGAAAAATGTATACCTTTATGCACAGTTCTATATTTCAACATTGCAGTCATCTAATCTGGAATCAATTTACTCGCTGTCTATATTGATATAATTTTTCCAACTAGAAATATCACTAAAATTACGTTACTCAAAAATGTTGAAATTGGAGTTAGCCATACTGTCAACTGAAAGGCTCAGAGACTGAAGTTATGTGGTTTATAAAAGTAGATGGAGAAACTAGATTTTTATTGTCTACCGTCGGTATAATGAATAGTAGACTTTTTGTAAATTTAATGGTCTTAATGATTTGTTATCTGTAAGCTTTAAGCTGTAGCTCCGTTTAAAATGCACTGAAATAATTTTATAATAGTCCAACATTGCCAGAAAATAATTTCTATTCAAAGTAGAGCGGTATGTGAAATTGTGTGTTGCGAGCACCAGATTTGTTTTTCGCTACTGTCAAGAAAGTATTGAGACGATCACCGAATGCCATATCAAATTGATAATGGCATTTTGGGCATGAGAAAGGACAATGTTCAATAGTACACCTTCTCAGAGTTCATTGAGGCACTTCATTTCACAGGAGGTCTCGTAGCTAGCTCCTTTTTAATCACCCCCTATTGATAGCCATTTCAACATATGTTTCATTATAATGGGAATTAAATTTTCTGAGTCAATTTCTATGTTCATCATAAATATGATACTTATTTCACTAAATAATTTAAAATGAACAAGAATGTGATTATGAAGCTGCCTGTATTACCTGCGGCCAGATGTTGCTCATGTCGTAGCCCTTACTGTACAACAGGACATAGCGCCCTTTGACATCGCCATATCTAATTCATCACGCTGGCTCTTCGCAGAACAATCAGCCTTGAGAAGGGTACTTAGAACCACCAACGACGAACGATGATATTGTTTTTTTAACCAAGTAACCAATTAGAGGAGCCGGGAGGCGAATTGTTAGACCTAACGAGCAAACAGCGAGGACACCATTAGCTGCATTATATCCCCTGGGTTACACCATTACCTGCCCGCCGCTCTTAAATAATGAGTTTGGATAAAGCCTTCGATCAAATTAGCATACTCTTTTTTTTTCTTTCTTTCAATACCTATTTTTATCCGTACTGGAGTATGCTCAGTTTATCTCTTCTAGATGTTCTTCGCAGTTAATATATCGATCGTTTCCATTTGAGTCCGTCTCGTTGGTTTTAGCGATGGTCTAGCACATAAAGGACCGAGTACAAGAGCGCCGGAACGTTGGAGGGTTCGATTCCCAAATGGATGATATAATGTTTATTTTCCGGAGGCCCAGGAAATTTATTTTTAACACTCCCACTCTGATTAGTGCACTGCGGCAAACTCAACGTAGCCGTCAGGTTCTGACAAACAATATCATTAGATACTTTAGACTCTAATTCCACCTGCCAGTTACAGTACCAGTATCAGTAGGTAGGTTTGGGCCTCCCAAAGCGCTTTTCGATTGGCCTTGCTTTCAGCAGTAAGTAGGCCTTTCAGTCATCTTCCATTCTACAAACATGGCATAAAAATATTACAACTGTCACTCGAGGATTTCACATTTTACAACCTATTTGCTGTTATTTCTTACACAGCCCCATCTAGTTTTTACCCGTAATTTTGTTTTTGAAATAACATTTTTTTTTTGCGGTAACTTGACTCCTATTTTTCCTAAGAACCTTTCTCCTTTTTCATCTATAAAGAAACACAGAAAAGAATACAGGCTTAAATAATCGTGGCTTTCCCTTTTTTCTTTCTTCTGGTTACTATTCTCTTTCTAGATCTAAAATGATAATGCATTATGCAATATATCAGCTGTACTGCAGAGGTTGAACATTCAAAATGGACTGCTTTATTTTACCATACAAGGTACAATCCCTTTGATAAATCAGAGGCATGACTAGGTATTGAGCTAGCTAATGCCGTAAAAAAACTTTAGAGCCCTAAATTATTCCAGGTTCGACCTCAGGGTGAATTATATAGAAGATATATCTACATTTATTTATTCAGAACACGCCCTACTACTTGTGTTTGGAACTAGATCTGTTCTAATACTAAGAAGAGCTTATCTTATTTCTACACAGATATATTGTATTTCTATCCTTTTAAAGTATTTGAAAAACATGTTTAGATATATATTGTAATATAATGTCTGGCGTATTTTTATTAAGACGAAAGAAACTATTTTATTATTAATTACTCTATTTTATTTATTAATTATTTTTTAATGAATACTTTACTTCTTCAATATTTAGATGAATATTCAAATACGCAATAGATATTATAAGCTTATTATCAATGCATTGTTATTCAATAAATGAAACCAAACACAACGCATATATAAACAATCAATACAAATAAAATATTATTTGAATTAAAAAAAAAAAAACTCACTAATGAAATCGGGAAATCATGTCCATCCCGTGGGAATATTCTGTCATATCTTCTTAAACCTAGATAGATCGTTAGGAAAATTGACATACAAGAATATTTCAACAATCGCAAACGAGCTTAAACAATTCCAAATACAATATGTATTTATTTATTAGGTACACTCCCACTCGAAATATTTATGAAACGAAAATCATTTGAAAAAATTAAAAATTCATCTGATAGAACGAAACTAATATAATGAGAGATATAATAGTATTATTTTTTTTAACTTGTTTATTGAAAAATATTCCAATCTGTCTCAAAGGACATTTATAATAGTGTTCAGAGATCACATTCACAATCTATGTACAATAAATAAAAATAAATTATACAGAAAAATAATAAATTATACAGAAAATTTATTTATTGTATATATATATATATATATATATATATATATATATATAATATATATATATATATATATATATACAATAAATAACAATAAAATAACCTAAATATAAATAAAAAAGAACAAATACATACCTGTATACACTGATGTGTGTGTCAGGCAAAACTGATCATTGATTTGGTGCAGATCTGCTCAGTATAGCGTTATCACGTGGTTTCTAGTGGCCAAAGCGGAACTTCCCGATGACTTGGCTCTCGGTAGAGATCCGCTTCTGGGCTCCTCGAATCACCGCGGCTATTTCAAAATTGGAGTACAAAATATTAAAAGGAATATTACAAGAAATTTTAAAATGCTATTATGATAAGTTGAGTACCTTGTGGAGAATTTTAATAAACTTCATTCCATGATATGGTCGTATCTAATTACTTGAAATGAGAAGCAATACATACCCGTGATTTAGTAACGCATACATCAAAGTCTTCAGTAATAACTCGTTAAAAAACGTATAATATTACTCTTGTTTTTTTGTCTTTGTTGGCCTTTAAAGGTATATCCACCCTATTTACGAAGACTCAGGAATCAGTGGATCACACACTTTTTTCTGGAACTAAACCTATGTGATTGTTGAAAGATTACTGCACATGCTGTTCAGGCATTCTTTGTCGTGTAGAGGCTTCCAGATCGATCGCTACGAACTACATACCCATTTTGACCTTCATATCATGAAATATTCATAGATCAGTTTCTGTAAGCAGATCTTTATTGGTCTTTCTTTTCCGTATGATAGTACTCTGATCCCAGATTGGTTTGGTTATCATGCGGAGGATTTTTCTTTCAAAGCTTTCAATACTTTTTTCTAGGGCACTGGTAAGTGTCCAGTCCTCACAGTCATATATATTGAAACTGGCTTTATGATAGTATTGTACATTCATATTTGAAATTTTTCAGGATTTCAATAACATTGAAAGAGAAAAAAAAAGGCTCTGTTTGCGCTTGTTATACGCTGATCTATTTCCATTGGTCATTCATTCATTCAATTTTTCTGTTTTATAAACGATTTTCCTGTCATTGGGGTCCAATTTTCGGCTGGTTGTCCGATATGCTCCGCTTCTCTTATCAGTCACAGCGAATTTCTCAATATCCTCTTAATGACTTCCAAGGACAGCTATATCATCTGCATATATAATTGCATTTACTGTATAATAATATACGAAAATTAATACTCATCTTTCGTTTATAGGCAGTATAGTTAATAGACAGTTATAAAAGTATAACTTCCCTGAAAAAAAATACACTTCCAGACTCTGCCAGAAGATTTTTCTATTTTCTATCCCACAGCAATCGCCTTAGACGCAGGTAGCCACTGGGTTTCCTCAATATTGTTCTTACTTCGGAGAGGTTATGGCCTACCGATAGAACTCCTGAGTACGGTTGGAAGTTTCCTGGCAGGATTCTGCGAAAACAA